TTATCCCTTACTAATCTAACACCACCACCTCACCTCACCCCCCCCCAACCCTCCATACATCTTTAACGCTTTGAATGCATTATTTTTTTCTTGCCAAAACTAGCTTAATATGTATTTTTTTTCTATTTTTTTTTTAACTAGTAGAACCTAAATTCCATATGGGGCTGCAGATCTTGATCCAAAATTTTAAACATTGTTGATTTACTTTGTGAAAGGTTACAAAGGTTGCTCAACGATCGTACATTTGATGTTCAACACAATGTCGGTGTTTGCTTTTATATTGTGTATTTCAGAGAACCGTCAGTACAGAGACAATAGAGGTGGAAATATCCGATCACCTACCAATATTTGGAATTTTCCAAGACTTAGAAACGTATTTTCCGGAAACTGGTAAAATATCATTTCGTGACTACTCCAAACTTGATATAATCAAATTTAAAAATGAACTTGAAAGTCAGAACTGGTCCGATGTGTATAATAGTAACGATGTTGATAATGTATATGACGCATTCTCTGGCACTTTTTTGAATATTTGTAACAAACATGCCCCTCTCATTACCAAACAAATTGGTTCCCGCACTATCCCCAAAAATCCCTGGTTAACTATAGAGTTAAAAAGGGCAATAAATAAAAAACATAAATTGTTTTCAAAAATGGTTAGATGTAATTATAATGCGGACAGCGTGGCTAAATATAAACGCTATAGAAATTATGTGACAAATGCTCTAAGAGATGCCAAACGTAATTTCTATTCAGAACAGTTTGTTGAATATAATGGGAAAACCGATAAAACCTGGAAAATAATAAATGAAATATTAGGAAGAGGACATTCAAAAACAAAATTACCGGACCACATTGATGTCCATTGCCCTGGTAGCAACCTTACGACTACACTGAATGACCAAGATGCAATTGTGAATGGGTTCAATAACTTTTTTACCAGAGTTGGGGTGAACCTTGCAAACGAAATCCCACCACGTACATTAGACATTTACAATGCACATGTGACAAATTCATTTTTCTTGCATGGTACCACAGCTCATGAAGTGTCAGATATATTGAGAGGGTTAGATAAAAAGAAGGCAGTTGGTTATGATCAAAGAAGTGCTAAGCTACTCATACATACAGCGGAGTATATTTCTAAGCCCCTCTCTCACATTATAAATCTTTCATTCTCTTCTGGTTCGTTTCCAAATGCTCTTAAAATAGCAAAGGTTACCCCTATCTTTAAAAAGGGAACTCCTTTTGACCCTGGTAATTTTAGACCTGTCTCAGTACTGCCCCAATTAAGTAAATTATTCGAGAAAATAATCAACAAACAATTAACTGTTTATTTGAATAAATTCAATATATTTTATTCCAAGCAGTACGGTTTTAGAGAAAAATTTAGTACAAAACTCTCTGTTATAGACCTAGCACAAAAGATATTAGATGAAATTGATCAAGGGAATGTAGTTCTTGGAGTTTTCTTAGATCTTAGAAAGGCGTTCGACACTGTTAATCACTCAATTTTACTCAGAAAATTATCTGGATATGGTATTCGAGGTCTACCTTTGGACTTGATCGAGAGCTATTTACAAAAAAGGGAACAACATGTAAGTGTGAATGGTGTAACATCAGACTCGCTTCCAATAATATGCGGTGTTCCGCAAGGGTCTGTACTTGGTCCTACTTTGTTTCTTCTTTATGTAAATGATATAGCATTATCATCCACGTACTTTGACATCCGTCTGTTTGCAGACGACACCAGTCTATTTCATACATTTCAATCTGGGAACAGTATTAATCTACACTATGTTAATGAAAAGTTAAATCAAATAGTTGACTGGTGCGACTGCAATAAACTGACAATAAATACTAACAAAACTGAATATATACTATTCAGAGGTAAAAATACAAAAGTAGCGACTTTTGGGAGTTTGACAATTAGAAACCAAAGCATTAGTGAGGTAAAGTGCACTAAATATGTTGGTGTGCTGCTGGACCACAATTTGAATTGGAAAAAACATATTGATCATGTGATGAGCAAAATAAGTGTCAAAGCAGGTATCATATATAAATTAAGAAAAATTGTTCCAAGGTCAACTCTATTATTATTGTATAACTCATTTATTTTGCCACATATTTCATATATGTTAGAAACCTGGGGAAATGCCTATAAAACTCATTTACATCCAATACTAATTATTCAAAAACGAATTGTACGTACTATTTCTGGTTCACCTCCTTTTTCACATACTCTCCCATTGTTTAACAGCTGTAATATACTTGATATATACAAACAACACCAGTTCCAATTAGCCCTTTTCGTTTTTGATAGTATTCGTGGACATTTTCCTAATTCTATATCCCAACTCTTTCAGCATGTACCCAAAACTTATCATACTAGGTTTCAAACCAAAGGAAATTTAATAATTCCAAAGTACCGTATTAATGCAGGTCAACATTCTATTAAAAATACTGGCCCCAAGCTATGGAACCAGCTACCACAGAATATAAAAGACATTACATCAAGGAAATTATTTAAGTTAAAAATGAAAGAAAAATTAATTGAATAATAATAATAATAATAATAATAATTATTATTATTATTATTATTATTATTATTATTATTATTAGCTTCACTTACAGGTTCAGGTTATTATAACTCACCCTCAAAGATAGTGTAATTCATTTTGTTTTTTGAGGAATCAGACTATATTAGCCAACGGCTATTTCTGGTTCCTATTTTACTATTTATAATTGATTCTTGTTTTGTAAACTACAAGTGTACATTATTAGGTAAAATAAAATATTTGATATTGATTACCTATGTGAAATACACTATGTGACGTACATCATCTACTCCTACATAATCAGACCATTAACTATGTGAAATACGCTATGTGACGACCATTACCTATGTGAAATAAACTATGTGATGA